CCAAAAAGTTTTGCAATAAACAATGTGCATTAGTTTGAAATTTGCTTAAAAGTTTAAGTCGATTTTGGTGACCGCAAGCAAAGTTTCAAAGTGGCGCACAGTTTTCATTGTGCCACATGTGGCACATGGCACGACCAACGATGCATTGCAGCTCGATTTGTTTTATTGTCATCCCCCCAACCTGCCCAGCGCTTGTTTTGTTGTCTTATATCACTTAGTGGCAAGTGGCACGTGGAAAGTGGCAAGTGGCAGGTATGCAGTTACGCTGCGTGCTTCACTGCAAGCTGCCACGCGAATGAAACGAATGAACGAAAGTTTTAATTAGACAAATTATAAGTTTTGCGACGTCGCAGCTTAAACTTGAACCAATGCCAACTTTAATATTCATAATGTACACAAAATTCGCAATATTCATGATCTTAACAAGCTAGCTGTTACCTGTGCTACCTGTGGCAGCCGCGCAGCCTTGCAGCCTTGCAACAGGCAGCAGCTCAACAGTTTCCGCAAGAAACTTTTGCCATTTGGGACAGCCGCTTGTCAGCTTTGGCCATATTATTAATCCTTATTGGCCTCTCTCGGCACACAGTTTGTTGTAGCTGCCATAAAAGTTGATTGGCTCTTAACTGATTCTCTTGGCCTTCGGGTCTTGTTAATTGATGTATTTTAAATTGGCACACTGAGGGGGGGGGGGGGGAGGAGTGGGGGTCGAGCCTAGGGTCTTAAAGCAAAGGAAAATTCCTGGCAAGAAAAACTTGTCGCAGCGCGTTCCTTTTTTCTTTCAATTTGGGCAGCATGTGTGCAACGTGTCGTATGCGTGATATGCCATAAATTATGCCCAAAATGAAGTGTCCCTTTTGGCCAAGGACATTCGCCGTGCGCTGACAGGCTCAAATAACTAGCCAGAGTAGGCAAATGGTGCAAATGCCTGGCGACATCTTTGCCACCGCTTGAACCGGAAACGGATATACAATTTTAGTAATTTTCGTGAGTGACCAAAGGAGCATGGGCCAAGAAAAAAGAAAAACAAGAAGGAAATTGCCAAAAATAACCCAAAGCAGCAGAAGCAGAAAGAACAGCAACAACAAAAAATAACTACAACAAGAACTTAATGCTTAACAGTTGCTCAGCGTTGCGTGTTGCTCTTCATCTGGCGTTTTGTGTTTGTTTTTATTGGCGTGAAAAATGTAATAATGGATTTTCTTGCTTCTATGTCATGTGTGCGAGTGTGTGTGAGTGTGTGTGTGTGTGCGTTGATTTTCTTGGCACTAGCCTCAGCACAGTGTCCTTGTTCTTGCCATTGTTCGGCTGCCAAACCATTTTTTGTTCGCATTTTGTGCGCTCTGTTTTGGGCCTAGGCCTCGTTTTTATGAGCCCAACTTGATGAAGTTATGTGCGTGTGCAGGACTACGAGCTCTATTTGATGGTAGTTTATGCACAGACTGCCTTGGCTATAGTGCTTTTTTACTGCTCCCTGCCAACTAAATGCTAGAAAACGGCTAACGAAAAGTGTTGCATACTTGCGGGCGGAAATTTGAATGTTTCAGTTGCCCTTTTGCTCCGGGTCCTGACGGAAGATTATTTAATAGAAATTTACAAGCTCTTCTAGGACTTTCTGTGCAGCGCATTTGCAAGTCTGTCAGCTCGAATATTTATATTTTGGACTCCATCTAGTGGTCCGCCTTTTTGTCCATGGCCCGTTGTCAAGTTGTGCGCGTGCGAAAATGTGCCTAAGGTCATGGCCGAAGGTCTGGGCAAAATCCTACAAGCAATTTCGTTTATTGAAAGCCACCACCATATGTGGCAAGTACTCTGCGCTGGTCTGCTTGGCTAAGTCTGACTATGAACATTTTATTTGGTTGCGACTGGTACATAAATCCGTCTGCCCACATAAACCGGATACGGTGCCATATTGCCTTTGGCATTACATTTGGCAAGTGCTTTGGGACTGTTCTGCGTACCCTATTGAAGTTTAAATGGGTTAAAAGAGTTGAATGGGATAGAAAGCGGCAGCCATTGTCTAGTTAAAGTATAAAGCATTCTTTCTTGTGTGCAACATATCTCACAAAAATAAATATATGCCAAATATAAAAACCCTTCTAGGCAAAATATCATCCCAGCTGAAGCTGAGTGTAGGGTAACTTCTAGTCGGATATTTTTAACTAAGGCAGCTTCTTTTTTTAAATATTATTTTCAATTATTTTTATTTTGCTTTGTCAAAAGTCACTAAACAATTTTCGCGCTCGGTTTTTTGTGTCGTGCAAACACTTTAAAACGTTTTGCATTATTAGTTTTTTTAGGGTTGGCGTAGGGGAGGGGGGAGGGGAGGGGCGACAGTTGCAGGAGCGGAGCACTCAGATATAAAATCGAATCTATTGCAGTTGAGTGAATGGCGGCTGCAGCAGGGGCAAAGGGAAAGAGGTGGCAAGAGGGCAGCAAGGAGTGCAATTTTTGACTTCGCAAATGGGTTTTTTTTTGGGTTTTCCCATCGATGATTGTTGCATGTTGTTGATGTTGTTGTTGTTGGTGCGCATTTGCCTGATGTTGATTGGATTAGAATGTTGCACGAGGAGCAGCAGAGCAGCGCATAAATATTTATAAATGTAAGCATGTCCTGGCAATCTGAGGGCAGCTTCATTGGGGCCTCTGATTGCTGGCCAAATAAATAAAGTTTTTCACTCCTACTCTTTCTCTCTGCCCCGCCCCAATCTGCCAGTTAGCTATATTAATTTGTTTGCTGCTGCTGCTGCTGCTGCTGCTGCTGCCACTCCAATGCTCTATTGTTATTCTCTGTGGCACTTGAATGTGCCTGCCTCTCGCACACGTGCAACGTGCCGTGTCCTA